CCTTCTTTTTTCGTCTTTTTTGAGACAGGGTCTCCCTGTAGCCCCAGCTGGCTGGAACTCACTATGTAGACCAAGCTGACCTTGAACTCACAGAGATTCACCTGCCTCTGCCTCCCGAGTGCTGGGATTGACCAGCCCCACCTTCTTTAAGAGTACCCACACTCTTGTCCACAGGCTTGCTTCAACTTGCTCTAACATGGCCACTATCTTAGCACATGAGCTTGGGTGCCCGTTATTTCACTTGTAAAGCCTTCCAGACTTTGTGAAGTGAAAGGAAGCTACCAGGCACTGAAAATCAAGCACATTGGTGCCACATATTGTAGTCACACTAGGCTGGGGATTCTGCTGGGCTTAGCTACAAAGTCTCCTGGAGCAGAGGGACAGAAATGTAGTCAGATGCAGCAGATGCTGATGAGAACTTGCCACATTAGGCCATAGCTTATAAGGAAGGCGGAGTACAGGCTGGCTCCATGTGCTGGGATATTAAATTCATCTCCCCAGGAGGAAAAGCAAGAGACCTGGGGCTTAAGATGGAGCAGTGGAGTAGTGAGTGATTAGTGTCTAGTCCTGGCCTCCTACCTTGTCCCTGCAGCTTCTGGCTCAAATGCCCCCTTTTCTCTCCATGGGAGAGGTCTCTCAGCAGCTGGCTTCCTTACATAGCTCACTGGTAAGGCACTGTCCTGGGGATTAATAAGATGCAAAGGCCATGGCTACTCATTGCAGAGAGAGGGATAGCAGGCTAAACTGCAGTCTCAGGACTAAGGATGTGGCTCAGCAATTAAGAGAGATTACTGTTTTCTCACAGGACTAGAGTTTGTTTCCCAGTACCCACGAAGTTCACAACTGCCTGTAACTCAAACTCCAGGGATCCAACACCCTCTTCTGGCCTATGAGGGTACCTGCACATGGCACACAACACACACACACACACAAATAAAGATAAATCTTAAAAAACAAAACAAAACAAAAAACCCAAAATACAACAGCAGCCTCAGGGACAGGAAATGCAGCAGCTCTAAAAAAGCTGACCATCCCAGGCCAGCACCATGCTAAGCAGCTTACTGAGAACTACATGGTGTGACAGCATTCCTGAGGGATGTGTGTTCTTCTTAACTGTGCAGATGGGAAAACAGGCCTAGAACTCAACCAAACTTCCCAAGGTTGTACAGCTGGCAAGCTGTGGAACTGAGGTCAATGCCAGAGTCCAAAGCCAGGCCCACTGTGCCCGCAGCTACAGAGCAGATGTGCTGCTTTACTGCTCAGTGCAGCCTAAAGGCACATACTGCTATCCACTTTATACCAGCAGGCTAACTGTCAAAACCATCTGAGCCAGGTATGGTGGTGCATTTCTGTAGGCCCAGTTACTAGGAAGACTGAGACAGGAAGACTAAGCCCGAGAACTTGAAGCCAACAGGCACACATGATGAGACCCTATTCCTTGGCAGGAGTGGAGTGAGGTGGGAAAGCTGACAAGGCTACTGGTAAGAGCACGCTGTATTATGTCATTTGACAACATCTATAGCTTTCCTGGGTGCACATCCCTTCACTGGAGAGGTCTGTCCCTGCAGGATAAAAACAGTCACAATATTTCCTATAATTATCAAATATTAGAAAACACCTCAAGTCTAATCAAGAGTCTGGCCAAATGCCCATCGGGGGCTTGAGGCAGTTTCCTTTTCAATGTCTGCTTTTTTTGGTGCACATATTTATTTATTTATGTATGTGTGTGTGTGTGTGTGTGTGTGTGTGTGTGCCAGCCATAGTGCATGTGTGGTTAGAGGACAACTTGTGGGAGTTGGTTCTTCTTCCACTATGTGGGTCCCAGGGATCAAATTTGCATTGCCAGTCTTGGCAACAGGTGTCTTTTACCCATGAGCCATCCTGCCAGCCCCAAAACTTTATATTATATATATATATATATAATTAAAAAAAATTTATGTGTATCAGTGTATTGCCTGCATGTATGTGAGTGTACCTGTGTCATGCAATGCTGCGGAAGTCAGAAGAGGGTGTCGGATTCCCCTCAAATTAGAGTTAAGGACAGTTTGTAGCTGCCATGTGGGTGCTGGGAATCAAACCTGGGTCTTCTAGAAGAAGAAGTGTTCTTAACCCCTGAGCCATCTCTCCAGCCCCAGTAATGTATTTGTAATCAGCCTTTATTGAAGATCCTGCAACATAGTCTTCCCAACTTCTACCACTAATAACAAAAGTTCTCTACAGCACTGGTCCTGAGACACCCACTAGCAGAGGCACCTAGTTTCCTTGCAGACAATACAGGGGAAGATGGAGGAACAGTACACAGGTTGTCAAGAGATGACTGAAGAGGACGAAAAGAAGTTGGCAATTTATTTTGGCGGGGATATTGAGACAGGGACTCCCTGTAGCCCCAGGTGGCCTAGAACTCCCTAGGTAGATCAGGTTCGCCTCAGTCTCACAGATATTTACCTGCCTCTGACTCCCAAGGGTTTGGTTTAAAGGCATGGACCAGCATGCTTGGCTAGAAGTTGTGAATTTTAAACTTTTTTTTTTTTTTTTTTCTGAGACAGGGTCTCATGTAGCCCAGGTTGGCCTTGAACTCAATATGTAGCTAAGGATGACCTTGAACTCTTCACCCTCTTGCCATCATGCCTAGCTGAATTAAAAAAATATTTTATTTATTACTTTTATTTTATAAGTGTATTGCCTGCCTGTATGTAAGCACACCTGTGTTGTGCAATGCCCGTGGCATCAGATTCCCCTGGAACTGGAGTTATGGACAGTTGTTAGATACCAAGTGAGTGCTGGGAATTGAACCTGGATCCTCTGTAAGAGTAGTCAGTGCTCTTAACTGCTGAGTTATCTCTCTAGCCCCCAATTTTTAAATTTTTTTTTGGTCTTTTTGAGACAGGGTCTCCCTGTAGCCCCAGCTGTCCTGGAACTCACTATGTAGACCAGGCTGGCCTTGAACTCACAAAGATCTGCCTACCTCTGCCTCCCAAGTACTGGGATTAAAGGTGTGCAGCATCATGCTCCGTCTAGTTAAACCATTTTATTTAGTCACATATAATAAGATGCGATCAAATATTCAAGGATTTCAACTCCATTATCATCTGTTGATGGCTTGCAGCAAAACCCCAGTACCTCCGCTGCAGGAGTGTTCCTTGAGGCCAAAACTGATTTCATTCCCTTGACTTCATTTCTGAATTCATCTCATATTGCCTTCTCCAGAATCCTTAGCTCTCCACCCATGGCTGCTCAGGACCCTCTCCCACCTCTACTCAAATCCCTTGCTAAAATTCCCACTTCTAGCTGGGAGTTACAGAGGCAGCTCGGAATCTCACTAGCCTAGCATGTATGAGGCCCTCGGCTGGGTCTCCAGCACCCCCAAATAATCTCCTTTATATTTCAAACTATGTTCAGTGCATTTATTAACATTCCATTGAGAAAAATACATTGCTATCATCCAAACCCTCGCCTTCCTCATTCCTGCCTCCTTGACACTGATGCTTACGGAATTTAGTGAAGACAGGCAGGATCAAAAGACAAAAGTTACAGTGACCCTGGTGTTGACATAAAGAAACAGTGTTACTGCCTTTGGTTCTTTAAAATGGAAAGACTTACTACCTAGAGTTTAAAGAGTGGAACATTCTCACTTATTTAAGACCAATGTACCACAGTATTGGAGGATTCCAGGTATGGGGGAACTGCCAGGACGACCTTTCCAACTTTTGATTTATTTTTGTGGTAGGGATGGAACCCAGGGCCTCATGCATGCTCAACACATGTTCTACAACTGAGCTACACCCCCAGCTCTTTTGCAGTTTATGTAAATCTAAAGTTATTCTAAAATAAGTTTATTTTAAAAACTAGAGCTGTGGATAGAATCAGCTTGCCTAGAATGCATGAGGCCCTCCACTGAAAAATAGACTATTATTCAAATTGGTCACTAATAAGGTTCAGTTAATATTATTTTTTAAGTTTTTCATATGGGCCAGATCCTGGGCTACTTCATGTCTTTGGTAAGGTAGGAATTTGGTCTAATCCGTCAGACAAGGTAACCACGTTGGCACTGCCAGAGGGACATAAAGATCCTGAGTACCCACCTTTCTCCAGCATGGCACCTCTGTCCCTTAAGAGACCAAAAAAGTAGGGAACCAGGGAAATGGTTAAAAAAAAAAAATCAAGCACAGCTACTAGAGGGGGCAGGTGCTCAGCAAACCTTAACAGTTGCTGGAACACAGAGGCAAAGGATGCCTTGCTCAGGTGAAGGGCCTGGAAAGGTTCCCTAGAGGTAAGGCTGGTGTTGAGGCCTGAGTAGTTTAGGAGAGCTGGTAGGTAGAAAGAACATTCTTGGTCAAGTCACCCCAGGTTGAGGCAAATACATTTTGGAAAGCTAGAGGAAGAAGGCAACTCAATAGAAAAGGCTTGATGTGGAAAATGGGTATTTTCCATTTCTATGATCCTTCCCAAGAGAATTCCACCAGCTTTCTATCCTGTAACTCGGCACATAATGTGGACATCAAAGAGGTCCATTTTCACAGGCACTGAGGAAGGAGATCTTATTTCATTGCTGCTGCTGGCAGTCGGCATTAATAAAGCCTTGTGCCACAAGTGGTAAACAATGAGGACAACTCCTTTTCATCATTATTGTGTCGGCAACTTGAACATATCCCCTTTAATCAGCATTCTTTTATTGGAGGTATTTTTGTATTTATGTCTTTTCCCATTTTTTTTTTAAGTAGGGGAAAAACAATCACTAGGTCCTTTACATCCTAGTAAATGGGGAGAGGTCGGGAGGGGTGTAAAGAATAAAGGGGGGGGTGTAAAAATCAAACACTGGGTTTTGTGTTGTCTTCCAAATGGAATGAACCAAGTAACAAGACAGCGGAAAATCAGAAAAGTCAACGGGTGCTCTGCGCTCGTGCCCCGCCCGCAAGTCTCCCAACAGGTGCTTCCCGGCCCTCCCCAGCCTCAGCTCTTCAGGCCGCAGCATAGTGCTCCTGAGGCCCGCCCGTACTCACGGCCGCTCGGCGGTCCGCCCCCCGGCCCGAAGCGCCCATCCGGCCCGGGCTCGGTCTGCGCGGGCTCGGCTCTCAGGCGGCCCCGGCGCGGCCCGGGACGCGTTCCGGCCGTTGGCGCCTTGGCAGGGAGCGAGGCATCCTCCCGCCGCCGCCCCGTGGGCCGCCTGCCCTTTGTTTTGGAGCGGTGGCCCAGCCCAGCCGCCATAAACGGACTCAGATCGTGGAGCTGGCCAATCAGCACCCACGTCCCGCCCCCTACCGCTCTGCTCCTCTTGTCCTCGCCCTAGCCGCGCCCACCACATCCCGCCCCGCCCCTATGTCACCTCCCTAGCCCCGCCCACCACGCACTGCAGCTCCGGTTCCCGCCTTCCTCCCCCCTCGTGTCCCCGCCTTAGCCCCGCCCATCATCCGCCACCCTCTCATCCACTGCCTTTCCCTGCCTCTCTGCGCCCCGCCCCAGCCCCGCCCCCCTCGTCCATGCCTCTAGCTCCGGGTCCTGCCTGGCCGGGCGCGGCGGGTAGTACGTGCCGTGCGGTGCACTGCACTGCCATCGCTCATCATACTGGACCCGATCTCAAAGCCAAGGAAAAGGGGGGCTCGAAGGGCAGGGCCTGGTGGGGAACGGGCGCGCTAGGGGTACGAGGCGCAGACGCAGGTGGCGGGTAGGGTGCTGCGCCCGCGCCTCGGGAAGGCGGCGAGTCGCTGGCTCTCCCGGAGCGTGGACCGGCTCAGAACGTGCTAGATTCGCAGCTCCAGAGTGGGCGCGAGGCCTAGGCGGTACTTGTCCACCGCAAGCAGGGCGGTCGTTGCTGGTCCCCTTCGTTGGGTCGCTCTGCAGCCGGGTCCCTACTAGAGTGCTACTCCCTTGCTCTCCGCCCCACCACCCTTTCTGAACTTTTCAGAACTTCAAGACCTGCGTGTGGAACCGAACTGTGGTTCGGAACCTCCAAATCAGAACACCCATCCCCAACACAGGCAGCCCACACCATTTCCTCCCATGTCCACTATTGTGTTCCCCATATACCTCTCTATTTTTTTGCTTGGTCCCACAAGGATTCTGTTTAGATCGATATTTAAATCTGGCTACTGTACACTGCTGGGGGGAAGCGGGGCACACGTATACATTTAATACATGTTAGCAACTTCTAGAGTGAATTTATTGAGATTGTAAAGATCTGTTGCTGAGAGTCACCTATTTGATGAGATTGCAGCAGGAATTGCCTGTTTGTTAACCATTGTCATTTACTTAGTGACTCTTCCAGGTGACTCTTCTAACTGTTCACTTCTACATACTTCCTACCTAGAAGGTGGAATCTCATGGTGTTTTTTTTTTTTTTAAGATAGGGTCTTTGTAGTTCAGGTTGCCCTTTAACTAGCCATATACCCCAAGAATGACACTGAACTTTAAAACTATTTTTAAATTAGGGGCCCAAGAGATGGCTCAATAGTTTTGTGCGTGTGCTGCTCTTAAACAGGACCAGAGTTCAGTTCCAGAGCCCACATCAGACAGTTCATAAGGGCTTGTAACTCCAGGGGATTTGAGACCTTCTTCTGGCCTCAGTGGGCATTGCACACACACACACACATACACACACACACACACACAAATGTTAATACAATTTTTGTTTTTTATGTGTATGCGTGTTTTGCCTGCATGTATGTAAGTGTAGCACCTGCATGCAATGCCCACATTCAGTTCCCCGTACCCACATGGCAGCTTACAATCATCCTTTAGGCCAGTTCCAGGCCTCTTATGGCTTCCATGGGCATGGCAGGACACAGCTGCACTTACAAGCATGCAGGCAAAACATTCATACACAAAAAAACAAATCAATAAAAGTTTAATTACAATTATTGTGTGTATGTACATGCACATGCAGAGGACACTTTGAGAGAGATGATTCTTTCCTTCCACCAGGATTGGACTTAGGTCATCAGACTTGGGGAAAACACCTTTATCCATTGAGCAATTTTGTAGGCTCTTTATTTGATTTTTAAAATATGTGGATGAGTGTATTGCCTGCACCCGTGTTGTGCAATACCCGAGGAGGTCAGAAGACGGTGTTGGATTCTCCTGGAGCTGGAGTTACAGATGGTTGATAACCACCATGTCGGTGCTGGGAATCGAACCGGGGTCCTCTGCAAGAGCAGCCAGTGCTCTTAACTGGCAGCCCTGGCCTTTATTATTTTTTTAAAAAAGGATTTAATGTTTATTTTCTTTTATTTTTTGGTCTGAGAGAGGGTCTCCCTATAGCCTTAGCTGGCCTGCAGCTCACTATGTAGAGCAGGCTGACCTTGAAGTCAGACTTCAGGCTTGCCTCTGCCTCCCAAGTGCTGGGATTAAAAGCATGCACCACTACGCCTAGCTACCTTTTTTCTATTTTTTTCTACTTTTATTTTTCTTTTTATTTTTTTCCCTTATTTTTTCTACTTTTCTGTTTTTCTTTTTATTCTTATTTATGTTGTATGCGTGTGGCTCTGTAGGAATGTATGCCACATGTGAACATGCCTGTGGAGGCCAGAAGATGGTGTTGGATCCCCTGGAGTTGGACTTGAGCAACCACATAGGTTCTGGGAACCAATCTCAGGTCCTCTGGAAAATTAGCAAGTGCTCTTAACTGCTGAGCCATCTCTCCAGCTCCCTATTCATCTTTAATTCTTAGACAATTTCATACAGGTGCATAATGTATTCTGGTAATTTTCACACACACACACCCCAATTACTCTCTCATCTTCCTCCCACTGAAGCCCTTCCCCAGTAAGTCTCCCTTGTACTTTCAGGTCTTTTTGTGTATATGTGACTCACTAAATTTAGTTAGTTTCTTGCATGAGCATGGGGAGGGCTATTTACTGGAGCATAGACAAGTTTACAGTAGCCATATCAATGAAGAGAATGGTTTGGGAGGGTTGGAGAAGTGCTCAGCTGCTGAAGAGCACTGGCTGCTCTTGAAGAAGGCCCAGGTTCCACTCCCAGCACCCACATGGTTGTTCATAACCATCTGTTAACTCCAGTTCCAGGGTATCTGACGTCCTCTTCTGGCCTCTGCAGACACTAGGCATGCACATGGTGCACATACATAAACGCAGGCAAAGTATTCATACACATAAAGATAAATAGTTTAAATTTTTTAAATTATTTTTTTGAGAATTTCATACATGAATACTGTATTTACATAATTTAGAAATAGATCTCTCCCTCTCCCCACTCCAACTCCTCTCATGCCTCCCACTCCCTCTCAGAGTCATGACTTCTCAGTTATATTGTTACATAGATACCTACTGTACTGTTACACAAACACCTACTAAGTTCATTGACTGTCGCTCATATGAACATGTGTTTAGGATTAACCACCTGGGATTGGATAACCTACCAGAGGGCTTGTCCCTGGAGAACTGATTCTCCATCAGCAGCCATTGATTGCCTGAAGCTTTTCATCGAGGGGTGGAACCTTGTGAAATTTCCTCTACCTACATTGGTAAGGAAATCTTTAAAAAAAATTATTCGGGTCAGGTGTGGCCTTTAATCCCAGCAGAAGCAGGTGGATCTCTTTGAGTTCCAGACCAGCCTACCCTACACAGTGAGTTCCAGCCAGTGTTATATAGTGAGATTCTGTATAATAATAATAATAATAATAATAATAATAATAATAATAATGATGATTTAAAAAGAGCTGGAGAGATGGCTCAGTGGTTAAAAGTCCTTAGTGGTCTTTCAGAGGACTGGAGTTCAGTTCCCAGCACCACATCAGGTGACTCAACACTGCCTATTACATCAGTTCCAGGGGATCCAACACCCTCTTCTGGCCTCTGTGCATACACACACACACACACACAAATAAATAAAAATTTAAAAAATGTATAAAAAAGAAAATAGCTGGGCATGGTGGCATACGCCTTTAATCCCAGCACTTGGGAGGCAGAGGCAGGTGGATCTCTGTGAGTTCAAGGCCAGCCTGGTCTACATAGTGAGTTCCAGGCCAGCTGAGGCTACAGGGAGACCCTGTCTCAAAAAGATTAAAAAAAGAAACCAGAAAACAAAATAATTTGCCTTTGCCCAGCAATTATTAACTATCAGTAGCTCCTCAGAGAAGGGCAAGGCCTCATGAGCTCCTCCCCCATCTATGATGGGATGTTTTGGGGTACCATTTTGTGCAGGTAACCACAGCTGCTCTTGAGTGTAAATGCCATGTCATGCTCAGAAGACATTATTTCATGGCACTTCTTTCCACCTCCAACGCTTACATTCTTCCCTCTCATCTTTATGATGTTCCTTGAGCCTTGGAAGGACTGATATAGGTGTGTCATATTTAGGGCTCAGCATTCAACAGTCACCTATTCCCACCACTTAAGACTAGTTGGGAGTCTCTGCATTAACCATTGGCCACCACAAACAGAAGCTTCCCTGACCAAACTTGAAAGCAGCACTGATCTATGAACATAAATATTTAGAAGGCAGGTTGACCCCACATTCATGTAGCAAATCAGTAGCAGGATCCCCCTACAGGGCCTATGACTGCCTCAAGTCATGGGCTTTTGACCAGGTTTACAGTACTAGACATGAATTCTCTCTTGTGCAGCAGGCCTCAAATCCAGTTAAAATAGTTGGTTACCTCCATAAAAGTCATGCCACTGTTGCACCAATGGGCACATCTTGCCTGGCAAGAGTTCACAGATGGGTAAGACTATTGTTGGCTTTTCTCCCCCAGCAGCATACATAGCAACTTCCAACACTATGAAAGCTAGTCAGCAAGAGGGAAGCTTCCAGCTGGGTTCCAGTTTTATTTCTCCATATCCTATACTCAAAGTGCATGGTGTCTTCAGCAATTGGGTCTTATCATCTATTTCTAATGGGCAACCAGGAGCAATGGCAATACCCTGTGTTGTTCTGGGGACTTCTAGGATTACCCTGAGCAGAAACTAGTAGGGAGATATCCCACAGTTGGCGTTGGTTTTTTTAATAACCTGTATTTTCTGGCAGCAGCATTTTCACCCATTCAGGGTACCTCTGCTCAAAATTTGTTAAAAAACTCATGTTTTAAAACTAGCTTACAAAATAGATTTACATATGGCTTTTTCATATAGCCTTAGTTTTGGTTAACATACCTCCCCAAACGCTCCTCTTCCATAGCCCCATCCCTGTTTAAACCTCTCCACCTCCAGTATTCCCCACTATTTTCATTATTCAGCCCCTCCCTTGAGGCTGACCCCATG